GTTCTCGTGGATGGTCCATGTTTCGGGTGTCTCGCGGGAGAAGAGCAGCGAGAGGGGCCACGGGAGCGTCGACGTTGGTGTTGTGGAGAGGACGAGGGGGGCTTTTTGGGACAGGGCGAGGGCGGTGGGCGGTGGTATTTGCGCGGGTGGAGAGAGGAGGTTGGCTTGTGTCATGCTGGCGGCTGCGGGCGTCGACTTGGGGTGTCGGGTGCGTGTCAATGGCGACAGAGTGTCTGGAGAAGCATGTCGAGTTAGGTAAGCTGATGGGGATGCCTGTCCCAAGCTTCCGCCGGCGAAACTAGCGGGCGTTCGGTAGTGGAGCCTCTGGACTCCAGGTGCACGTCAACAGCCTCGACCCGACAAGCACTCGCTTTCCCTGCAGACGACCGACTAGAGCCCGCTTTCATGTCGCCAAACACGCCCGCCATGACGACCGCCTCCCAATGATGATGCCTAGTCGCCCACCACCTTCACCCTCACGCTGCACACCTACCCCTCCTCGCGCGCTTGCACACCTCGACACACGACTGCGTGACGCTGCCTGAGCCACGCCAAAATGTAGTGCCCGCCAAATCTCCATACAAGTGTCGTGACTAACAGTTCCCTAGGTTCGAGAAATCTCTCTTCGACCTCATTCGGGGCCTCCGAAACCACAAAGGCAGCGAGCGCGAGTACATCGCCGAGAGCATAAAAGAATGTCGCAAGGAAATACGCACCAACGACATGGACCTCAAGGCCACGGCCCTCATGAAGCTCACGTACCTCGAGATGTTCGGCCACGACATGTCTTGGGCCAGCTTCAACGTCCTCGAGGTCATGTCAAGCTCCAAGTTCAAGCAGAAGCGCACGGGTTACCTGGCCGCAGTACAGAGCTTTCGCCGGGATACCGAAGTCCTCGTGCTCGCCGAGAACCAGCTCAAGAAGGACATCATGAGCTCGAGTCCCCAGTACATCGCTCTCCCGCTAGGCGCCATACCACACGTCATAAACCCGAGCATGGCCAACTCGGTCCTCTCCGACCTAATACCGCGCCTGACGCATTCGCACGCAATGGTCCGGAAGAAGACCGTCGTAACACTATACCGGCTGGCTCTTGTGTATCCAGAGACACTGCGGCCCGCATGGCCTAAGATCAAGGAGCGCTTGCTAGATGACAATGAGGATGCGAGCGTCACAGCGGCAATCGTCAACGTCGTGTGCGAGCTGGGATGGAGGAGACCACAGGACTTCCTACCGCTTGCACCGAGACTATTTGATCTCTTAGTAGAGGGAGGCAACAACTGGATGGCCATTAAACTCATCAAACTTGTAAGCACTGAGCCCAGAGGACATAAAACCAGAACTTGAACTGACCTGCCTTAGTTTGCAACATTAACCCCATTAGAACCCCGACTCATCAAGAAACTGCTACCTCCGTTGACCAAGATTATACGGGAGACGTCTGCCATGTCGTTACTTTACGAATGTATCAGTGGTATCATCCAGGGTGGTATCCTAGAAGCCGTAGAGGGCACTGCTGAAGGTGAGGAGGTAGCGAAGCTATGTGTTGGCAAACTACGCGGCATGATGATCATAGAGGGAGATGCAAACTGTAAGCTAATATACACTGTTATTCAACGCTTGGCTTCTCATCAATCTGCAGTAAAATATGTCGCACTACTCGCGTTCGAGAAGATCGTCACCTCACATCCATACTTGGTTTCCCAGCAGCAAGACGTCATCCTCGAATGCATAGACGACCCCGATATCTCAATACGAATGCGTGCTTTGGATCTGGTGGTTGGCATGGTTAATGCAGACAACCTCACAGCGATTGTTGGACGGCTGATGCGACAGCTACGAAATGCACCAATTGCCTCAGCGGCGAGCGATCCCAACAATGACCGAGGTAGGCTGACTGGCATATCACCTTATGGTGACTCCGACTCCGACGCAGAAGATAATCTGCCTCAGCACGAACAGAAATCCGACCAGCCGCCGCCACTGCCAGACGACTACAGGATAAGCGTCATTCGGAGGATTCTGGAGATGTGCTCACGCGATACTTACAGCAACATTGCCGACTTCGAATGGTACATTGATGTACTTACTCAGCTAGTCAGGGTATCACCGGCAACAAAAGCAACCTCGGTTATGGAAGAGGAGGAAGAAATAGAACATTCAGACGACATTGGTGGTGGCATCGGACACGAACTACAGAACGTTGCCATTCGGGTGAAGAGTGTTCGATCGGAAGCTATAGATGCCGCACAATCGCTCGTGCTCGTTGATCGGAGAGACCAGATGTTCCCAGCATCCGGAAACGGCGGCCAAGGTGTACTGGAATACGCTGGCTGGCTGGTTGGAGAGTACGCCAACTACCTCACTCGCCCGGAGCCAGTCATGACCTCCCTACTACACCCATCATCTCTTCAATTATCTTCGAGAACGCTCGCCGTGTATCTCCAAGCGATACCGAAGGTCTTCTCTAGCATGGCTGGAAACGATCAAGTCTCATGGACTCCGGAGCGCAAGACGCTAATGTCCCTTCTCATGGCTCGTATTATCCACTTTTTGGAGCCGCTCTCCACACACCCTAGTCTGGAAGTTCAAGAACGGGCAGTTGAGTACCTTGAACTCATGCGTCTCGCGGCAGAAGCTGCATCAGGCACTGCTGCTAGCGCGGACCAGGACGCATTCACCGATCCACCTTTACTGCTTACCCAAGCTATACCTGCCCTCTTTTCTGGCGCTGAGCTTAACCCGGTCGCTCCTGGTGCTCAACGCAAGGTTCCTTTACCTGAAGATCTGGATCTGGATACACCAATCAACCCCAACCTACAGCATTTGCTCTACACAGCTGATGCAGAAGGCTTTGAGACAGAGGAAGATGATGTATATGCGGCTTATTCGGAGCCTGCAGCCGCGTACTCAGAGCCTCCTGCTGTTGCTACACCGGCTGCGGATCGCCTGGATGCCCCGCATAAAGAACCTACATCATACCAAAACGCAGCGGAGGATGAATATCTGGACGCTGATATCATTGCGCGTCGGAAAGCTGAAAGAAAAGAACGCTACAAAGATGATCCGTTCTACATCGACCCCGAAGCCGATAAGGGCAGCGGCGCAGTCACACCACTGAGTAGGATAGTGCGAGATGGCAATAGGGAGAATAACGAGCTCGACATCGATTCGATTCCAATTATGGAGCTCAACCTAGACAGCAAAGGGTCATCGTCTGAACATCTACCGCGATCGCGGAGTCCGCGCAAGCCTGTGCGCAAAGTCGACATCATGGGCGATGAGACACTTGGACCTGCTGCACCAGACGCTTCGAGAGATGACATCGTGCAACCACGTCCAGGGAAGACAAAAAAATCGCTGTTGCAGGTGGACAGCTCCGGTCTTGGGTCATTGAGCTTGGATGACGAAGGCATATCAAATCGCAAGCTCACTCAACTCGAAGTCGAGAGGAAGGCCCAGGAAGACGCGGAGATGAAGAAGGCGCTCCAGGAAGTCGAGCGACTACGGCTTGAGATGCAGCGAGCGAGCGAGAGATTACACGTCAAAGAAGAAGTTGCCGTCAAGAAAAAGAAGAGAAAGGTCAGAAAGGTTGCTGTGGAAGGAGACGAGCCAGCCGAAACGCCTCCACCGGAAGCGGAAGTTGGTGAAGAGGAAAAAGCAGCGCCTATCAAGAAGAAGAAAAAGAAGAAGGTCAAGCCTGAGGGCCAAGACGAGAACGCAGCCGAAGGCGCAGCTGAGGGCGAGGAAGAAGGCAAAGTCAAGAAGAAGAAAAAGAAGAGGCGGACTGTGGTCATGGATGAGGGTGCAGATGCACCTGAGGAATAGTAGCCTAGGCACGCTGCAGATGGTTGTCTTGGTCTGAGACATATGTGATATCAAATGCTCAATGGTATTTTGCTACCACAAAATCGGCTATACCAAGTCCCCTTGATGCCGCAATGATGCCTCTATAACGCCGTATGCCCTATATAGTTGACGCAAGAAAGTGGCCTCAAAGCCAAGTTGCTCCTCCAAGATGACCCCCAACTTCTCTCTTTTATACGCTCTCCCAGCATGTATGTGAGCTTTGTGTTGTTTCTCCACGTATGGAAGATCGAAATCAAGTTCAAGTCGTATTCGTCCGGTAATCGATCGCATCGCGTCGCATCACCCCAGCTTTCTAGAAGAAGAGCTTAAGGACCTCGAAGAGCAGACCCCCAACTAGTATGAAAGCAAGGACAACTGTGGGAATACTAGTCAGTACACATCCTCACAAGATCTAACAATATAGACCACGGGGCGAAAAGAACGTACTGATCCAGAACCTGCTAATGGGGCTCTTCTGAGGCGCCCTCTTCTTGACCACGGGCTCCGTTGACTCGGGCTTGCCCATCTTCTTCTCCTGCGCCTTGGCGAAACGCATGTTTGCCTGGCGTTGTTGTGGTGTTTGCGCCTGTACATTGGTGACGGTGGTTAGCTACCTATTCCATCTGTTGTGTGTATGCGACAACAGGGAGAGCCGCTCCATTGCGCCGCGAAGGGGGTGGTATCGTACCATTATGATGTGTGTTTGTGTACGTGGAACGAGTAGATGGCTGCAAATCGCGCGGTCCAGGAAGGTTTCGGGAAAAAGGAAGCGAGCGTCTAGTGTCTGGTAAGAGGGGAGAAGAGAAGCGGAAATGAGGGTTCAAGATGTATGGTGAACGTGTTCCCTTTGGAAAGTGCATCGCGTGGGTCTGTGCGACGGCGCTAGGGTACCGGCATTAGCTGGATTCGCGGAGATAGTGGACGGAGGTTTATACCGTTTTCTGTCGGGAGACTTTTGTCGCATCTGCACTTCTTTGCACGTGGAGAGCTCCACCACCGTCGGCGCAATAGTCTGTGTCGCATATTCGCAAACAAACCAACGTCATAGTTTTCGTTCTTGGACACCCCCCCTCGCGCAGTACCTGGCGACCACGCAGCGGCGACCGAACGAGCTCAGAAGCGGGGACAAAAGTTGGCAGCTTTACGACACCATGAATCACATCAGAGCAACACGGTCGATATGGAGTAGAAGCGCGATACCCAAGCGCATAGGCCAGACATCACGAAGAACATACGCAGCCGAAGCACCAGCACCGCATCCCCCCAGCTCGCCGCCAAACCCAAACTCCGCACCGCCGCCAAAAGAGCCATCGCGGGTAGTACGTCATACCCCAACAAACACCCTCCCTCTACCCTCCATACTAACAAAATCCCTCACAGGGCGCATACTACGGTACCTTCGGCTCGCCCCTCCTAAAATGCTTCCTCGGCGCCCTCTTCACATACCAACTCACCTACTACCTGTGGTACAAACTCGAAACCATCGAAGAGAAACACGACACAAAAGCCGAGATACGCGATTTGCAAGAGGAGCTGCGGCAGGCGATTGAGAAACAGCGGTGGATGGCGCAGCAGAAGTGGGGGCAGGCTACTGAGGCGATGGAGAGGGAGAGGGAGGAGTTTGGACAGGCGGTTGATGCGGTTGTGGAGGAGGTAAGGGAGGGGGCTGATGAGGTGGGGAAGGGAACGAGGGCTGTGGGGAGAGTTGCTAGAGGGGGTTGGTGGCCTTGGTGAGGGTGGGAATTTTGGTGCGTGGATGCTGATGTGGTGGGTCAGAGGGTTCGAGGCTTCATGGAGGGCATTTGTATAATATGATGATATGTATATCAGATGGATGGATGATACCCCTCAGAAATACTGTATTCCTATACTCGGTTGGTAGTCGCCGGTCGATTTGCCTCTCTGCTCATGCCCATGTGCTACGCTATCTTCCTTCGTAATATCGTATCAGTCTGATGTTCGCGCCAACTTTCTTTCAAGCCTCACACCCATCAAACTCTCGTCTTTCAGATCCTTAGATTGGCCCGTCTATCGCATCTCTCATGCTCGGCGTCGAGGGCGTGCAGTCGACGGACGCCATCTTTGCGCTGACTCGATATGGGCAGTCCAAGCCTCATTGCGCAGAAGTCATTTCCATCAATCCACCGAATGGCCATGCTGTCGAGTTCTTTTATAAGATTGACATGACTGCAGTATCAATAGCACTCTGTGGTGACTCGTTATAGTCATCGCATCGATTCGTGGACCTTGGCAGTGCAATATCTCTTCACAAAGGCATCCTCAACCGAAGAACTCGCCAGAGACGAGCGACTCCCACGGCTTACCGGTATCCCAGACGCTCTTCATGAGCGTACTGATCTTGGGTACCTGATACGGAGTAAGCAAGTCAGTCTTTACTTTCTGATGGCAGGAGCTTACATGGTTCAGTCCGAAGCCCTCCACACTCCTCAGCCGCTCGATGATCTTCTCCCTCTGTCCTTCGTCTTGCGCATCGCAGCCAGCAGCAAACATGGGAAAGATCAAACATGCTTCTGCTGTACTTCCTCTCCGGATCTTGTACAGTAGGCCCACAATCTCTCGCACGGCTTGCTGAACTTCGTGGTCCATGGCGGGTTTTCCGAGAACGCGACGATACAAGTGAATTAGACCCGCCCAGTGGAATAATTCGTTGGTCGCGTAGATCTCGGTTGCATCCCATGCACCTTCAGACTCAGAGGAAGTACTCGAGCGGTGGTTGCATCCTTTCCTGATGTTGCGGCCCAGTAAGCCTTCCTCCAGTGCATGACGAAGCTCAACGGCTTCCTCTACAATCTCAGGGCTAGGGGTCCAGCCCTCCCTCACATTGCCTTCTTCGTCGATGCGCTGCGGTTCACAGCGCTTCGCTAGTTCAGAAACGCGAGCCAAAGATCCTACACATCTTGTTGTAAAGCCCATTAGACAGTCAATCTCAAAATCTTCGTCCGCGGAAGCGTTTTCGCTAGACCAGTAGAAGGAGCCAAGAGGTGTGTCGTTCTTGTTGCCACTCAGTGAGCCGAGGACGTCGAGGTATGCGAACCAACGCGACAGGAAGTAGGCTACACGATCATGCCGCCCCATGCCCTTTGGTCCGCCACGCTGGATGATCATCTGGCGTGCCATGGTTAGATGGCTTTGCCAGGATACGGGGACCTCGAATGTCCCAGAAGATATAACCTCCAGACTCGCCATCATTATCACTGCTGCTAAAGTACTGTCGGATACAGTGTTGGGATCATCGTTGAGTGCTTCACGTAGCTTGGGGAACACGTCTTGCACCCAGACGGCGATGCGATTCGAGGGCTCGGGGTGATTGAGCATGCGTGCTCGGTGTGCCGCGCTATATGCGAGAAGAAGATTCATTATGTTCTCGTCTTGTACAGCCACTTCCACAGTTAACAAAGATCCATGAAGATTAACGTTGACCTACTCTCTGGTAAAATCTCACGAAACGGATTCCGCTCGCAGTCATGGTTGACAAGAACCCGCGCTGTGTGATTGATGAAGTGATGGAAGTACAGGAGATTCATCTGGTTCTCTACGAGCAGTGAAGGCAGTGGTTCTAAAGACTTCGAAATCCTGATCGGAACTGGTTTTGCATAATAACCCCCGCTTTCGAAGGCCATGTCTTTGCCGTGGGGATCAGCGCTACCATACGGTGTGTCCTCGTTAAATCCCATGGTGTTGCTTTGAGGGCTGAAGATGGCAATAGCAGAAAAGTCGTCATTTCTCGGAGTATCGATATCAGGGAGACCCAAGTCGTATCCGTAGGTGGTGAAAGCAGAATCAGCAATTGGGTATTGTCGGCCACGTCCGACCTCGTCACCGGCCGGCCGTGATCTCTTCCTTGGAAGATCATTGATGAGAGACTGGACAGACACACGACGGAGATCTGGCGGTGATTGTGCTGAATTTTGCGGTGTTGATGACGTTTGCATAATGTTTCCTTCAGATCCAATTGACATCGGTGTTAGCGGCATAGCCGAGTAGGGACTGTATGGCGTTGGTGAAAGTGTGTTTGGCGAATCTGTGTCTGGGAACGTTGGTGTGTTCGAGTCTGTAGAGAAGCCATACTGCTGGCGTTTGGCCATCGAATCCACTGAAACCGGCAGTGGCGGCGGCATCGTAGGATTGGCATATGTGAACCCAGCGTTACGGGAGTTGGGGGCAGCCGAATCATACGTGACATGCGACCGAGCGTCAACAGTACTCTGATACTGTGTATGGTTGTAGGGAACGGACGTGAATGTTTGGTTTTGAAGGTACATGTCCGCACCCGACGCTTCAGTACGGATGGCATCATGCGGCTTTTGCATCAAAGCTGGATCAATGGAATGCGTAGATCTAGGTGGGGATGTTCTTGATGTTGATCGTGCATGTTGTGATTGCACGGGGTGTTCGGGGGCAGACGAGAAAACGTTCTCTTCAAATGGGAAGGAGGACTGGTACGGACTGCCAGACGCTGCACTCGAAGCATCAGAGGCTGTACTTGTCTTATCTTTCTTTGAACGGCCTCCCCAGTTGAGTCTTATGCTGTAGTCGCATGTTTCCCCTTGGCGCTCGCAGTTGGTACAGCTTGGCTTCTCTTCTCCACTGTGAGATGCTATTAGTACTCTCTGATAAGACCACGATTAGAACTGCTTTACCATTTGACCTTTCGAGCTTTACACGGCCTGTGTTTGGTGAGTAAGAATGAACAGACTCCATTGATCTAGGATAATACCAGCAGCCATTTCGCGATCTTCTTTTAGGTTCTACCCCGGGTTTCTTCGGTCGAGGCATGGCGCTTTAGATTGACAGGGAAAGCAAAGATAGTGCGAATGATGACTGAAGCTGATGCTCGCGCGGCTGGTGAACGCCACGCTAAGACCATGCCATACGGGGCCGACTCGGCAGGCTGGGGTAGCCTTTGGGCGACGAGCAGCAGTGCACCGGGGTGCCGGGTACTAAGGTGCTGGGTTGGTTGCACTGCATGCGTTCACCTAGCGCGCTCTAACGAGCGACAGGACGGTTGCCGCGATGAGGGTCTGTATACGATCGCTTATATAAGGTTGCAAGGTCCGACAGCAGCCCTGGAGTTGTTCCGTCCGAAGTAGGGATTTAATCGGAGAAGGAGCGATAAGGACCCCCGCACTTTGCAGCGCCTCCAATCATGACCCTGGAATCCGATGCTTCACGCGCTAAGTGGGCCAGACACAAGTTCGGCAAGATCGACACCGGATCAACTTTTGTGACCATGATACTAGTCTTGTGGGCTTCGCGCTTGAACTTGGGGTCATTTCACGAGTAACTCTGGTTATGTACAGATGTATATCAGCAATCACTATCCTATTGAGTTCTGATTTTGATCACACTGGGCTTTGAAGGCCTTCATACGGCAATCTCTTGCCTACACGTATATCAGTCCTTCCCCATGCTACTAGCAGCCATAGGAGCATATGGTCGTTACTGCTAGCGCTCGTTACTGGAGACTGCTCTCAGAGTAGATGCTTCTGACATTGCTCGAATGGTAGAATCAGAATCCGTGGAGCTAGTATGCGAGTCAATTGATATGACCGACGGACTGGCGGACGTGCTAGGTCGCTCTTCTTCACTCAGCTCGCTCCTGTCTATCATTTCTTCGTCCTCACTCTCTTGACCTGCGTTTGCAGCTTCAGCTTCCAGAGCAGTCATACGATTCACAAACTCCTTTTGTAATTCCTTAAGCCATGCAGTGAGAACCTCCCCCTCTAACACACCAGTGTGTGCTTGAACGAGATGCTCCTTGAGATTGAGGACGAGCTTGCGTCGCTTCTCCTTGAGCACAGTTTCGGATGCTTTTTTCTTTCGCAGCATATGACGCTCGACCTGTTGTGCAACCAAGGTAGCATGCTCCACAACCCCGGGTGGGAAAGGAACCACACGCGCAAGCGTTAGGCCATAGTGGATCTCTTGGACGACTCCCTGGGCGGTCTTGTAGAGCATCGTCATGCTGTGCGCGTCTTCCATCTAAGAATGTGAGTGGTTTGATGTGGGAAGAATGGAAACGCCCTCACCTCAACTGCCAGGTGTAGGTTCTGAACTCCAGCGCGGTCACTCATGATAGTCGCAAGATCTTTGAAGTGGGTTGCGAACCAAACAAGAGCCTTGTAATACGTTAGAAGGCGGCAGCAATGGGGTATATTCACATACGCGACTCGAAACGAGGGCTTCCGCGATAGCTAACGCAATGGCTAGACCATCTCTAGTACTGGTGCCTCGACCTAGCTCATCGATTAGGACTCTATTTTCTGTCAGCAATGATAAGGTACCCACTCATGGATCGGTCTCCTACAAGCTACGTCGATCAACATTGCGTAGGATGAAGGCAATCTCTTTCATTTCCGCGGCAAAGGTAGAAACATTAGTTTCAATGTTGTCATCCATGCCCAGTCTAGCGAACAGCTGATGCAGAATAGGAAATGAGGCATAGTTAGCAGGAACGCTGCAAGCAGTTAGTACACAGAGATTCAGAGTTTGTAATCCAATCAAACGTACTAGCAGCCGATCTGAGCCATGATTGTCATCAAAGCTACGGATCGGATATAAGTGCTCTTGCCACTCATGTTGCAACCAGTGATGATCTGGAACCGCGTCTGTTGTGTAGCATAGACATCGTTGGGGACAAATTTGCTCTTCATGATTTTCTCCTTGATCGGGTGTCTTCCGGCCTCGATTGCAAGCGTATCGGTGAGCTGCGGCTGAGCTGAGGAGATATCAGCCTGGCTTACGTTGAGCGCCATGGAACGGATGCTACTCACTGTAGTTATTCACTGTGACCAGATGAGCGAAGGCCGCAATCTACTCTCGGTCAGCCTCATCAACATGACAAACAGTCGAAGCATAGTCACCATGTCTAGCATCGCGACTGCTTCACAGATCTTGAACAAGATAGACACATGACTGCGGACCTCATCGATGAGAGCCTCGACCGCTTCATCGCCTGATGATGGTTAGTAAGCAGGAGCATCGTCGTTTAAAGTTTGACTGTACTCATGAGGATGACTTCTTGGTGCGACATGGCGATCTGATAGTGGTCAGCAAAGCCCGAATCACTGCATGTAGCCACATGCCTTCTGATTACGCTTCATTAATTCTAAAGTCTGGCATTCGATGTTATTCTTGCGGCGAATGATGTTGGTGAATATCGGCGGTAGTGCTTTGCCTTCCAGCTCGGTTGTTGCGATCTTCATGTAGAACTGGCGTGCCGTATCGTATTTGAGGTCTAGCCGAATATCGCACTCCTCTTCACGAAGTTAGTGAGTAGGTTTACTGAAAACGATGAATTGTATCTCACGACTGAGCTCTGTTGAATGCTGGTACGCATCTTCAGTAGCTTCTTTGTAAGTTGTACGCGCAACATCAAGCAGCCCATTCACACCAGATTTCACGGCGTAAGTGCGCTGGTTCCTGAGTTCCAAAGGCTGCCTTGCATAAGTGGTGTCCTCGTTGATGACACGGTCGATAAGTTCCTGGACAGGTGCGACGTTCTCTGGGGCACATATCTCGCGGATGTTGTTCAACATGACAGATGCAGTTCCAGTAAGGGCTTCGAAGACCGGGCTTACGGAGTTGACGAATTGCTTGAGCATAATGACGTGATTGATGGATTGCTCCGTTGTCTGCAGAGTGGTCTTGCTTGGAGCGACAATCAGTGCAGTCAGTATGCGGTCGGCATCGAGGAAGTCCTTCAGCGCTGCCCGGGTTGCGAAGAACAACTCTTCCTTTTTGGTCATATCGTCGACTGCAGCATACCGTGTGTTGAGTACCTCTGGCTCCGTGAGTGGCTGTAAGACATTGCTCCGAAGAAGGCGTGCTCCCATGGGCGTCAATGTCTCGTTGAGAAGACCAAATAGGCAATCTCTTGACTTCGGATCGCGGAGATTCTGAACCAGTTCAAGCGAGTAAATGGTAGACACATCGATCATCATCGATCCTTCAGATGGCTCATATCTCATACGAAGGGAGTGAGCGGAGAAGACCATACCTAAGCCCAGATCAATGTACTTGAGTGCCTATAAATTGGGTTATGAATAGCACTCAGAAGTCAAACAAAGGACTCACTGCTGCGATGCAGCACACCGCATAGTAGTTGCCAGTGACGGAAATCTTGATTGCTTCGACGTCCTCTCTGAACGCTAAAGACTGAATGTACTCATATCCGGTCGACTCAGCCCAGTAGCGGCGATCAAGCAGGGTCAGCTTACTTCCAATGTCTTCGAGGTTTTCTTCAACGATCGAGAAGAGCTTTGATCTAGGGCTCGCCGCAGTAGACACGATCAGAATCTCGGATGGACCGTAGA